TCCTCTCTTCCCCTCCCTCTCTCTCCGGCGTGCCTCCTTTCCACCATCGCGGGGGGTGGGGAGGATGGGATGCGGGCAGAGAACCGGGGCCGCGTGGGCAGGAGGGCGGACAAAAGCGGATCTCTCCCCCTCCTTTGGCGGCAGGAATGTGGACGCGGGCTGGGCTGTCAGGCTGGGGTGGGAAGGGCAGGCCGGGCCCTGCGGAGGGAGGGGGAGGGTCGCAGCCTTCCAGATGTGCGGGGGGGGGGTTGGCGCTGGGGAGGGGCTTCATCAGCCCGCAGGGGTTGCGGGGGGGGGGGGGAAATGCTTGGCCTTTGCCCCCCCCCCCTTTAAAAAGTGCTGCCAAGGTCAAGGGCCACCTTTCCCTCCATGCTGGGTCCCAGGAGGGGAGAAAAGACCCCCCCTGTCAATCAGCCCCATCCTCCTACTGGGCTGGCTGGAGGGGGTCCTTCCTGACTGGGGGGGGAGGGGGACGACCTTGGGGCAAACGCTTTCCCTAGGCAGCCCTTGGCATTTTAGGGTGAAATTGAAGCTCAGTAGGGGCACGTTGGGGGTCTTTTGCAGTGGGAATGACCACCCCCCCCACAGCTTCTCCGCATCTGGAAATGAGCCTCTCAGATAAGCTGAATTGGGGGGGGGCTCCCTTCCACCCTGGCTGCCTCTGATCAGGAAGGAGCAGGAGGGAGGGGGGCAGTTAGGGAGGGCACCCCACCCCCCCCAGCCTCCCCCCATCAAGCATTCTGACCTTTTGGGGTGGCTTGGTCTGCAGACAGAGCCCCCCCACCCTTTGGGTGGCAGCCCCCCCCCACCCCCCAAGGTCATGCATGGGGAACAAGGGCTTCTGCCCCTGGAAGTGGGAATGCCAGGTTCCCATCTTTCTGGACTAAGGGGAGGTCCCAGAGGCGGCCCAAATGTTTTCCAATAGTCGGCTTGCAAATGTTGCTTGCTTGCCCCTCCATTGGAGCGTTTTGGGCCCTGGGTCCCAGCCACTTTTCCCTCTCTGGCCTGTTTTTTTTTGGGGGGGGGGCTCCCTCTCCCTCCCACCCCCCTGCAATAAGATTCCTGTGCTGGGAGAAAGTTGGGGAGGGGGGGTGGGTGGGATTAAATGGCCCGGAATGTCTGGCTTCCCATTGCCTGCAGCAACACTTTTGAATTTATTCCAGATGTTGGCAAATTCAGACTTTTCTTGGCCAGAGGCAGATTTTTTTTCAAGGAAAGAAAATAAATTTCTGATGAGAGGCTGCTAGGGAATGGCACATTTGGGGGGTCGGGTGTGTCTTGATTTGGGGGGGTCCCCAAAGAAGCTTCTCCGACACCCCCCCTCCCTCTCCCCCACCCCCCACAACGGTTAGGTTCTTTTTAAAGGCCTCTTTTCTTCCTCCCCATTGAGTGCCAGTTTTTTGGCAGGGCCTCCTTCGGCTTCCTCCCCCCCCCTTTCCCCCCTGGCCTTCTGCGTGAGTTGCTCCTAGGAGCAGCTGCTCCTATTGTAGTTCTTTTTGCATAATGCAAAGAGGAAGCGTGGAAATGAGCAGGAGGGTGCTTGCAACATGTGCCATGGTGGAGAGAGGGCCTCGTCCCACAGTCCCATGCGCAGGAAGGAAGGGCTGGAAGGACCCGGGGGTGCCCCAAGTGCCAAGCCTTTTTTCTTGCAAAAATGGGAGGAAGTAGCAATAGCAATAGCAGTTAGACTTATATACCGCTTCATAGGGCTTTCAGCCCTCTCTAAGCGGTTTACAGAGTCAGCACATTGCCCCCAACAACAATCCGGGTCCCGGAAGGATGGAAGGCTGAGTCAACCTTGAGCCTGGTGAGATTTGAACTGCCGAACTGCAGATAACAGTCAGCTGAAGTGGCCTGCAGTACTGCACTCTACCCACTGCGCCACCTCGGCTCTAAGTCCCTTCTGCCCCTTCGCATGTAGGGTAGAACTCAGCCAAACCTGGTTAAGTTTAAGTTTATTGTCATTGTACACATATGCACACTCTTCCCCTTACAGTGAAATTTCACACAACACCTGGAGACCAGGCCCAGCACACAGGACAATCCCTAAATACCCCCTTCCCACCCACCCCAAAATTCCCTGCCCCCAAACCACCCAAGATCCCACACA